TCTCATCATCTTTAGCCTTCATCTTCTCCTCATAAGACGCTCTCAGCTTCTGCATCTGCCTGTCTTTTGGCACTCATATTCGCCGCATTAGACGCTCTCAGCTGCCGGATCTCGACGTCTTTAGCACTCACATTCGCCGCTTAGACGCTCTCAGCTGCCGGATCTCACCTTCTTTGGACGCCATCTTCTCGTCGTACGACTCCCAGGCCGCGAACTCGAACCGGTGAATGCCTTGGCCGTCGTTGGAGTAAGCTCAAGCGACCCGTTGATATCGTCGTTGTAGCCCTGGTTGAAGAATGTCCGCACGTGCAGGAGCCCGACTGTGTTGGGCTCGCCCTATTAAGTGAAGAAGAAGAAGAGAAGATGCTCTGCAGCAGAAGTGAACTAGAAAAGCATAGCAACATCACGTTTGAAGAAGAAGAACCTCACCTAGAAACGGAAACATTTCTGGGTTCCCTTCCATCCAGCACAAGTGAAGGAACGAGACAACGTCGTTGTGAAGTTCTGGAACTTACCGTTTGGCGGAATCAGTTATGACAAATGGGACTGTGCCAAGTGGCTTTACTTTACTGTAATTTTAAATTTCAGTTTTCCATTCTACTGTTTATGTATCGTAAACCAGACTCTTCTTCTTCGTTGTATAAATTGAAAGCCAGAGAGAACCCTTCTCTTTGCGCGTTTCCCATTTCATCGTGCCGTCGTTTTCTCCGCTTACCCTAGCTCAAGCTAGTTTCACATGGTATCAGAGCGGTTCCTGATCCAGTAACCTGCAGAAATGGCGACGACATCACCAGCTAGTACGTCTCCGAATACACCTCAAGGTGGTATTCCCTTCGGCAGCTTCACTGGGATGGAATCAGGGACGATGAGCACTCCCCCTCCAAAAACAACAACAACAACAACAACCACGATCGTTCAGATCTACAATTTGGTAACCCATTCTACATTAACCCAATGAAAACATTACTCAAGCAATTGTTTCTGAGTTCTTGATGGCTCGAATTATCAAATGTGGCAAAGAGCAGTTCGAATAGCGCTCAAAACGAAAACTAAGATTGGAGAACAATTAGCTAAGGAGGAATGCTACAGATTGAAGAACAAGAAGCTGAATGGCTGGGTGTAGCTGCAGCAGTCATACCAGGAGAATCTTCCACTGAGAGTGACACAGCTAGTTCAGATTCCAAGCTAAGCACTGACTCCCGCAGTGTATCCTCAAGGATGGTTTTAGCTTCTCTACTGAGGAACTGAACAAGCTTAAGTACTTGCTCCAGAGTGTCCCTTCTCATCGACCATCACCACTGCTTCTCCTTCCATCAATCACTTGGCATTTCTGTTTCCAATAGCACTTCTCCATTCCCTACTTACATTCTTTCCTCATACATTCTTTCCTCATACATTCAGCAAAAGAATGATTCTTTTTCACACTCCTGGATATTGGATACTGGGGCATCTGATCATATTGCCTGCAATCTTAGTTTGTTTACTGAATCTGTTCCAGTAAAGATCAGTTTGTTTATCTGCCAAATGGTACCCAAGTAGTTGTTAGCCATATAGGTAAGGTCCAACTTTCCCCCTGACCTGACCCTAGAGAATGTTCTCCTAGTGCCTAGATTCACATTCAACCTTATCTCAGTGAGCAAATTAACAAATGACCAGCCAATATCCTTACACTTTGAATATTATTCTTGTCAAATTCAGGTACTGGTGACCCAGAAAAAGGACTAGTTTGGAAAGACAGAGTAATGGACTATACCAAATTCACACCAAGGCCAAAGCACCTCTTCTTCCACACACACAGCCACTTCTTACAACTTTCAACCACAAACATTCACCTTTGGCACTGGAGATTAGGGCATCCTGGCAAAGACAAAGAAGCACCTGTTACCTAGTGATGAGAATGTAGTTCCCACTGTCAGACTTGTCACTTTGCTAAACATAAAAGACTTCCTTTTCCTGTTAGTAATAGTAGAGCAGTGGATGTTTTGATTTGGTACATGTAGACATTTGGGGACCATTGGCAGTTAAATCTCATGAAGGATACTCTTACTTTCTTACAATTGTGGATGACTGTTCTAGAGCTGTCTGGGTGTTTTTAATGAAGTTCAAGTCTGAAGCTAGTCATTTACTACAAAGCTTCTGTATCATGGTTGAAAGGCAGTTCTCAAAATCTGTCAAGTTATCAGAAGTGATCAGAGGTCAGAATTTCATTTAGCAGAATTTTACACAGATAGAGAATTATACAACAACAATCTTGTGTTGAAACCCCTGAGCAAAATGCTCGTGTTGAGAGGAAGCATCAGCATATCCTCAATGTGGCTAGATCACTTCGTTTTCAATCTGGTATCCTCCTCAGATTTGGAGTGACTGTGTTCTTCATGCTGTTTATCTAATTAACAGACTTCCTAGTTCAGTTCTTGATAATAAATCACCATATGAAATTCTCTACAATAAACCTCCTACACTTGCCAACTTAAAGGTTTTTGGATCTCTTTGTTATGCCTCTACTCTTCACAGATAGGACCAGTTTGATCCAAGGGCAGGCAATGTATCTACCTGGATTCCCCACTGGAATCAAAGGTTTCAAACTGTTGATCTTACTCTCATTCCTTCTTTGTTTCAAGGGATGTGATATTTTATGAATCCATTCTTCCCTTTCTCACTTCCAATTCTGATTCCACTTCTTTTCCTGAACCAATCACATCTCCCTACCTTCTAATCCTCTTTTCATCCTGCAAACTCCACTCCTTCTGTCCCAGCTTCTGCTGCTGACATAGCTTCCTGTTCCACTATTTCCACTCCTTTTCCTAGTCCTTCTACCTCAACTTACCCTTCTGCTCCTATTTCCACTCCTTTTCCTAGTCCTTCCTACTACTAGCTCTTCTAATGGTGGTCACCCATCAGTTTGCAGTCTGAGGGGGAGGATATGGAGATAGAGTGTTTCCTGAGGACTTTGTCTAATGAGGATGAATTCCTAAGAAGTCCACCAGGAACCGCACTGTCCCAGTTTGGCACAAGGACTACCATGTGAGTATGACTGCCACATCATCTAATAAACACCATATCTGTCACTAGTTGGCTATGATCATCTCACTGATTCTCAAAAAGCCTTTGCTTTGAGTGTTCTATCTGTTGAAGAACCAACCTCATATGCTGAGGCATGTAAAGAGTAAAGACCCTCGTTGGTTGCAGGCATGTAAGGAGGAAATCTTTGCACTATATGAGAACCAAACTTGGGAAGTGGTTAAGCTTCCTGCAGGTAAAAGCCATTGGGGCTAAATGGGTGTTTAAGGTGAAGTATAGGTTTGATGGAGCAATTGAAAGATTCAAGGCACGTCTGGTGACTAAGAGGTATACCCAGATTTATGAAATTGACTTCTTGGACACCTATTCTCCAGTGGCCAAGATAAATCAGTGAAGACTTTGTTGGCAGTTGCTGCTGCTAAAGACTGACACTGGTTCTTAGATGAGGAAGTATATCTTGAAATTCCTCCCGGAGTTGATGTTCCCAAACACCATTTGGTGTTTAAACTTAAGAAATCCTTGTATGGTCTTAAACAGGCAAGCAGGCAATGGTTCTCTAAACTTGCCAATGCTTGTTAAAGACTGTTTACTCACAAACTGCATCTGACTACTCAATGTTGTGAGGTGGATACAGGGAAGAGTAGTAGTAGTGCTTGTTTATGTCGATGACATATTGATTGCAGGAAGTTATTTGGGAGATATTCAGCAACTCAAGACCTTTTTAAATAAGGAATTCAAAGTGAAAGATTTGGCCAGATGAACTATTTCATAGGATTAGAAGTCATTAGACATCACAAAGGAATCTCTGTCTCTCAAAGGAAGTATGTTTAGAGTTGATGTGACACTGGTTTTGGGAAGCCAAAGGCTGTTTATCTCTAGTGGATTGCAATGTTAAATTTTGCAGAACAGGGTGAATTGCTGTCTCATCCAGGTATCTACAGGAGGCTAATAGGGAGACTTCACTATCTCACCATTACAAGACCAGATATCCCTTATGCAGTACAACACTCGCCCAGTTTCAATCAGCACCCTGCGTTGGGCATTTGCAAGCTGCGCATAGAGTTATCAGGTATCTGAAACAGACTCTTGGGCAAGGATGATATTCAGAGCAGACTTAAAGCTGAGCTTTCTGATATTGTGACGCTGACTAGGCGAGTTGCCCTGACTCGAGAAGATCCCTTACTGCTACTAACTTTCTTAGGGTCTTCTCTGATCACTTGGAAGACCAAGAAACAAACTACAGTCTCTAGGTCATCCTCAGAGGCAGAATACGGGCTCTTGCTCAAGTTGTCTGTGAAGTTCAATGGTTGCGAAACTTGCTTACATAGATGGGAATCAAGGTACCATTGCCCATCCTCTATTTTGATAATAAGTCTGCTTTACCATCGCTGAATATCCAGTTTTTTCACGAGAGAACAACACATTGAGATTGATTGCCATGTTACAAGAGAAAGGCTGAAATCATGGCTAATCAAATGCTTCATGTGAGAAATGATGAGCAGACTTATTCACGAAAGGCATGACAGCGCTATAGATTGAGTTTTTGTTAGACAAGCTAGGAGTTCATAATGCTACTCGCCAGCTTGTGGGAGTATTAAGTGAAGAAGAAGATGCTCGCAACAAAAGTGAAATGGAAAAGCAGAGCAGCATCACGTTTGAGAAGAAAAAAAACCCTCACCCAGAAACGGAACGTTTCTGGGTTCCCTTCCATCCGCACAAGTGAAAGAACGAGACGACGCCGTTGTAAAGTTCTGGAACTTACCGTTGGATGGAATCAGTTTATGACGAATGGGACTGTGCCAAGTGGCTTTACCTTTACTGTAATTTTAAATTTTAGTTTTCCATCTCTACTGTTTATGTATCGTAAACCAGACTCTTCTTCTTCGTTGGTATAAATTGAAAGCCAGAGAGAACCCTTCTCTTTGCGTGTTTCCCATTTTCATCGTGCCGTCGTTTTCTCCGCTTACCCTAACTTCAAGCTAGTTTTCACACGCCCGGCGGGAAGATGGCCGGAAGATAGGGTGGAGGTGGACCGCCGTGCTCTCGTCCGGCCCGTTGGCGGTGGCGGAGATCCAGGACACGCCGTACTTGCTGTCGAGCTGCACGAACTTGTTGTTGTGGCAGCAGCGGAGGTGGATCAGATGGGCCGGGTCGGATCCGGACGGGACTACCTCCAGCTTCACGAACGGGCTGAGCGGGTCCAGGAGTCGCATGCATCCCAGGTCGTTGACGTACGGCCCGAAGGAGTGTCGTTCCAGAGGTAGTGCAGGTATTTCCCGTCGGACTTGGATTTCAGCACCATGAATTTCGGCAATCCGGCCACCGTCGACATCGCTCTCTCGATCTCGGATGGATGGATTGCTTTCTCTTTTTTACAACTTCTCGAGGGAGACTTTTTCTGTGTTGAGTAATGAGTATAAAGCTTTGAAGGGTAACCAAGTCAATGCCGAAAGTCGTTGGGTAATAGCACAAACAACAAGTGGTAGCCGGTAGGTAATTGCCTTAGTCTTCTTTTCTTTATTAAATGTGAGAAAGGGAGAGAAAGAAGTTACAAAACTAAAGAGCAGAGAAACAAGGTTTTTCATTAGCTCGACCTGAAGAAGAAGATTAGGAGCGTTCAATGAAATAATCCACCGTAGAGATCCCCTATTCTTCTCCTTCTTCCTCCTTCTACCTTTGAACATTTTCTTTGTTTGGGTGAGATTAACTCTAATATACTAATTTGGTTTGATTAATATAGACATCAGTGTTTTTTTCTAGGCTTAATACCCTAGTATGGCCCGAAGTTTGGCACAAGTGACAGTTCTGGCCTCATTTTTCAAATAAGACATTTATGACCTACTTTTGAAATTATTGGACAAATTTGGCCCAAAATTTTCTTTGACCGTTAATAACGGTCAAACACGATTTCGTTAGTGACTCAGCAAAAAACAGATGAAGTGGCATGCCATATCATTAAATAATATTATTTTAATTTATAATACAATTAAAATACAAATTAAAAAATTAAGAAGAAAAAAAACTCTAAATTAAAACAACCTCTTCGTATTAACAAGAGGGAGTCGCCTCCTCCTCCAACAACCACCATTCTGCAGCCTCTCCCTTCCTTCCCAAAACCCCAACCACTACAATTTCTTCTTCTTCTTCCATTACATTCTAACTTTCCCATCCACCGATTCTTCTTCCTTCAAGAGAAGCCATCCAAAATTAAAGAAATTCCAAATGAAACCCTAAACACATGGGCGCTGCTCAGGGGAAAAGAGAAAAATTCATGAAGATCCGCCACCTATGGAGCCCAAGTTTCACCACTTCCGACTATGAATCCACCCACTGTGCTTGATCAGCGACGCTAGGAGATCCTCCGCCGGAATCGAGACGGCGGCGCCGCCACTGCGGGACTTTCTGAAACTCGGAGCTCCGCTGCTCGGAGCGAGGTCGACCATCTCCACAGCCTGAACCTCACATTCCTGCCAGTTGAGAGCCTCGAGATCTTGCTTGACTTGGTCGTTCGACGGTAAGAAATTACTGCCCCGCTACTGGAAGAACTCGCCCTTTTTTTTTAAATCAATCTTCGCCGAATAAAAGGCAGGAGAAGGTGAATTAGTTAATGGGTTCCCTATCACAAGGCGAAAAAATTGATGGGAAGCATCACAGATCGATGGGTCCTCATCATTGGGGTTCGGGTCAGAGGTACGGCGACAAGGGCGATCAAAACCACCTCTCCGGACATACATAGGTGGGTTCTCACTTCCGGCAGCAATGGTGGAAGGAGTGACGAGGAAAAGAAAGAGAGGGGTGAATGGATAGAAAAATGAATGGTGGGAGCGTGGCGGAGGAAGTGGTGGGAGCGGCGTCGCGGTGCTCCTCGGAGAAGTCATTAACGGAATTGTGTTTGACTATTAATATTAACGATTAAAGAAAATTTTGGGCAAAATTTGTCCAATAGTTTCAAAACTAGGCCACAAATGTCTTATTTTAAAAATGGGGCCAGTTGTCAATTGATGTTGGTATTTTGATTGCTTATATGTTTTCCTATTATCTATTTCTATTTTGTCTTTTGTAGTGGCACTAGAAAAAGGCGATCACTAACCCACCAACTTTATAAATTAGATTAACTAATATTACAAATCCATTCTACGAAGAATACGAACTAGGCCAAGAAACATTACAATGAGAAATAAGAAACATTACAAGTCATTAGTATTTACAAGTTATTCTTACAAACATTAAAACCAAATTTATAATTATTATAGGCAAAATTGATGTGTGTAGCCAAAACTTTGACATTTATGGCAATAATAGTCACTTTTGGAAAAATACCAATAATACACAGAATTTTGAAAATTTGATACATCGTTAGTCAAATTAACGGAAAGCTTACCTGGCCACCAACACACACTCTCTATCGTTTCCACCTCAGCATTCAGCGACAAGTGGATGACACGTTATTTACAAAAGTATTTTTTTAACTCTACCCAATCTAAAAAAAATATAAAAAAACCCCATCCCCTTCCCAATCTCATATGCTCGTCTTCCCACCTCTCTCCATATCTTCCTCTTCTCGATGACCTAGAGCGTCGAGGGCTGTTCACCCCCCGGGAGATCGTCGAGATTGTCAAGCAGAGGCGGAAATTCGAGTACAGATTGAAGCACCCGAGTCCTCTAAAGCAGGACTAGCTATTTGACCTACATAGAGTACGAGACTCAGCTTGACAAGCTTCGCCGCCTTCGCAAGAAATCCATGGCCCGGGACATCGATAAGAATAAGGATGACAAGAGGATGAAGCTCTCGGTCTCTGACTTCGTCGGAGTGTCGAGCAGTGGCGGAGGTAGCAGTTCAAACCACTCCTGTCCTCTTCTCATAATGTAAATATATAAGTATTTAATTAAGAATTATTTAATAAAAATTAATTATACTTAATTATATCATTTAATTCATTCATAGATTAAAAATAATCGACTATACAACCATTGTTTTCATTAATAACCATGAAGGGATTTCATATTGTGAAAGAACCGCAAAAATATTATAGCTGGCAAATAGCAGAGCAACCGCCCAGCTTCATCGTTTCATCTTACCCGCCATCGTCTGAGGGTTTCGATCTAAAGACCAGAACCCAGTAAGAGAAAAGGCTGAAATCGACTAGCCAGAGCTTTTACCTCCATCCGCGCCGCTTATGTTCTTAAAGTCCCCAAATCTCCATGTCGTCGATCCCAATCCCAAAAGTCCATCTCTTTTCCAAATCCCTAGTCGCATAACAGAATCGCCATTCCCGACGATTGGTGCTGTGAGGTTCCCATTTTCGATTATTCAGGGTAGTTCTGGGTTTTGCAGTGCCATTCCCGATCTTATTCTCCCAACTTGGCTGCGATAGGAGATGAGAAATTCCTAAGAATCTTGGTTTGTCCAGCTTGCGGCTGCTGCGTACATGGTCCTCGGAGCAAGAATTCGAAGGCGAAAGATGAGGCGGAGGGGAAGGAGGAGGCAGTGGAGGAGTGGAATCGGAAGATGTGGCGGCGGCTCTAGTAGTGTTGGAGCCGTCGACTAGAGAAGTTTTTTGTTTTATTTTTATTTGTTTTTATCTTTCATAAATCAAAAGGTCCAGCCTTTTGAAAATTTTAAATTTTAAATTTAATTCTTATTATATTATATTATTTTTTAATTAAATTCACGTGGGAAATACGTATGGGACAAAATCGATTGAACGATACGTTAATCCAGTCAGCACACTAACTCACACTGTCAAATAATTGGACGGAAGTGGCTATTTTTTCTATTTTGCCAAAAGTGACTATATTTGGCCAAACCGTCAATATTTTAGCTACACAGTTGTATTTTGCCATTATTATAAACTGATTGACAAATATAATGAAGCGTGAATCGCTAATATTAAAAACCAATTTTACAAAACATTACAAACAAGACTAAGAAAACATTACAAATTTTTATAAGATTACATATAAGACTAAGAAAATATTAAAAAATTATTCTTAACATATGTTTATGTGACTTGAATCGGACTATCAGCCGCTACGACTGGTAATCGACTAGCCAGAGCTTTTACCTCCTTCCGCGCCCATGGACATAGCTAACACACATCGTGTTAGTGAACCACGTAAATCATGTGTCTGTGTTTTTCGATTCTCGCTTTCGTATTCTTGCTTTATCGATTCCGGCGAATTCCCGATACGTAGCAGCACGTTTATAACAAGTGGTATCAGAGCCGCGGCTGGAAATCAGGCTAGGGTTTTCGATTCAGAAGAATGACGTCGGTGAACATGAAGATCAAAAAGTTCACGGGGAAGAACAGCTTCGCTATATGGCAGATCAAGATGCAGGCTTTATTAAAACAGCAAGGGCTGTGGGGGCCGCTGTCTGTGAAACAGAAAAAGGCAGGTCGATGACGATGAGTGGAATACCCTGAAGGAGAAGGCCCACTCGACCATCATGCTATCGTTGTCTGATGACGTCATCATTGAAGTCGTGCTGAGAAGACTGCGCGGGCTTGTGGTTGAAACTAGAGAGTCTGTAATGACTAAGTCTCTAACCAACAAGCTGCATCTCAAGCAACGGTTGTTCAGCTTGAGGATGCAAGAAGGTACGCCTTTGAGGGAACATCCTCGAACAGCTTAACTCTATTTTGCTGGATCTGCGTAATATAGATGTTCAAGTTGATGATGAGGATGCTGCCCTATCCTGCTGGTTTCTTTGCCGAGTTCATATGAGAATTTCGTTGATTCTTTTATTGCTGGTAAAGAAAACGTGTCGTTGGAGGATGTCAGGTCTTCTCTTCATACGAGAGAGATCAGGCATAAGGCGTCCGGATCTGGTACAGGTGGTGAGGCATCGGGTTTGGCTGTTACAGGTGGAAAGGGAAAGAAGAAATCTGGTAAAGGGAATTCGAGCAAGAATTCCAAGGGTCCCGGTCCGCAGCCAGGTGATGCTTGTCACAACTGTAAGGAAGTGGGGCATTGGAAGTACAACTGTCCCAAGAGAAGAGGGAAACAGAAGAAACAAGGTTCAGTTGTCGTGGCAGAAGTGGACAACAGTTCTGAAGACGATCTCGCCTTGGATGTAGATGAGAAGGCACATCGTGGGATGTGTGGTTTCTGGATACTGCAGCCTCATACCATATGTCTCCGAACAGGGATTGCTTCACAACCTACGAGCAGATAGATGGTGGTAACGTGGTCATGGCAATGGAGCTGTCTGCAAGGTTGTTGGAATCGGGTCCATAAAGGTTCGGACACATGATGGTTTTTCTGTACCGTGAATGATGTCAGGCATGTTCCACGAATGACAAAGAACCTGATCTCGTTGAGTCTACTCGACAACAAGGGTTTCAGCTTCAAAGGAAAAGGTGGAGTTGTGTATGTCTGCAAAGGAAAAGGTACCGAAGGGCGTGAAGCGTGGGACCTTGTATGCATTACAAGGGTCTGTGTTGTCCGGTTCTGCTGCAGTTGCATCGTCTCAGGTTCATTAGGAAGATATGACCACTCTCTGGCACATGAGACTGGGCATGTGAGTGAACGAGGGATGCAAGTTCTGTCGAAGAGGGATCTTCTTTGCGGGCACAAGGTGCAGAATTTGGAATTCTGTGAGCATTTGTGTTTGGGAAGCTATATCGCAGCAAGTTTCCCAAGAAGGGTATCCACCGGACGAAGGGGATACTGGATTACCTCCACTCCGACTGTTGGGGTCCTTCACGAGTTGAATCCATTGGAGGCATCAGGTATTTTCTGTCTATTATTGATGATTATTCGAGATTTACTTGGATTTTCATGATGAAGCAGAAAAGTGAGGCTTTCACGAAGTTCAAGCATTGAAAGACATTGGTGGAGAATCAGACTAGGAAGAAGATCAAGAAGCTGCGAACGGACAATGGTCTAGAGTTCTGTAATTCTGAGTTCAACGAATTCTGCAAGGATAAAGGGATTGCCCGTCATCGGACCGTGAGAGATACACCCCAACAGAATGGCGTTGGAGAAAGGATGAACCAGACATTATTGAAGACTCATTATGAGGTGTGGTATGGTAAGCCTACTGATTACTATTCACTGAAAGTTTTTGGGTGTCCTGTTTATTATCATGTGGATGAGGGTAAACTGAACCCAAGGGCAAAGAAGGGTGTATTTGTGGGTTACAGATGGAGTTAAGGATTTCGAGTCTGGTCACCTTCTGAGCATCGAGTTATACTCAGTTGAAATGTGATATTTGATGAGAAGTCTATGTTTAACCCCATGTTGAAGGTTACTGTTGTTGAAGGTAGCAGGAATGTTGATAAACAGGTGGAGCTGCAAACTCTCAACGAGAGTGAGTTTGAGCACCAAGGTGGAGAAGATCAACATGATGAGGATGTCTCTGCAGAGCAGAAACTTCAGAGTCCAGTGCACGAGCTCAACAGTCTATTGCCTTCCGGTAGACCGAAGAGAGCGACTGCAGGAAGTACCTCCACAGAGGTATGGCTTCGAGGACATGGTGGCGTATTCATTCAGGTTGCTGAGGAAGTGGATGCAGGAGAGCCACTAGTCCTATAGAGAAGCAGGTTTCGGTTGGTGAAGCTGATCAGTGGCTTGCCGCAATGGGAGATGAGATGGAATCCCATGACAGGAATCAGACTTGGGAGCTAGTCATACGACCACAGGGAAGGAAGATTGTTACAAAACAAGTGGATCTACAAGAAGAAGGAAGGAATCACTTCTAAAGAGGGCATGAAATTAAAGCTCGGGTGGTTGCACGAGGCTTCTCGCAGAGGGAAGGAGTTGACTACAATGAGATTTTCTCACCAGTGGTCAGACATACTTCGATCAGAGTGCTACTAGCAATAGTGGCACATTATGACTTGGAGCTCGAGCAGCTAGACTGAAGACAGCTTTCCTACATAGAGAGTTGGAAGAAGAATTTTACATGACTCAGCCAGAAGGATTCGAGGTTCCGGAAAAGAAGACTATGTTTGTAAGCTGAAGAAGTCCTTGTATGGACTTAAGCAATCTCCGAGGCAGTGGTACAAGAGATTTGACAGTTACATGCTTGAGCTGGGCTACAACAGAAGTCCATATGATTGTTTGTGTATCACAGCAAGTGCAGAGGATGGTTCGATGATATATCTAGTTCTGTATGTGGATGATATGCTCATAGCTGCGAGGTCAAAGTCTGATATCCAGAAGTTAAAGGGGCTTCTCAGTGCTGAGTTTGAGATGAAGGATTTGGGAGCTGCTCAGAAGATCTTGGGTATGGAGATTTACAGGGACAGGTCGAAGAAGAAGCTTTTCTTGTCACAGAAGAGCTACATCCAGAAGATACTGTCGAGGTTTGGCATGTCTTCAGCAAAGCCCTTAAATACTCCTAGTGCTTCAAAGGTTCATCTATCCTCAGCTTATGCACCGCAGTCAGAGGCTGAGAAGGAGTACATGTCGAGAGTCCCATATGCTAGTGCAGTAGGTAGCTTGATGTACGCTATGGTATGCACTAGACCTGATCTTGCACATGTTGTTACGTGTTGTCAGCAGGTTTATGATACAACCTGGGAAGGAGCATTGGCAGGCTGTGAAGAGGATCTTCCGGTACCTTAAGGTACACCTGATGTGGGATTAGCTTCGGAAGTGATACAGAGTGCTTGGTGTCTGGGTATTCTTACTCGGACTATGCTGGAGATGTTGACACGAGGAGATCGATGACCGGTTATGTATTCACTCTTGGGAGTTCTGTAGTGAGCTGGAAGGCAACTCTGCAGTCCGGCGGTGACATTGTCTACTACTGAGGCAGAGTATATGGCGTTGACAGAAGCTGCTAAGGAGGGAATATGGTTGAAGGGACTGGTTGGTGATCTTGGTCTACATCATGATCAGGCAGGGTTGTATTGTCGATCAGTTTGAGTGTAATATGCTTGGCCAAGGATCAAGTCCACCATGAGAGGACTAAGCACATCGATGTGAGGTATCATTTCTTGAGGACAGAGAAGAGTGATTAAGTTGAAGAAGGTTGGCACCGCGGATAATCCTGCTGATATGTTCACGAAGCGGTTCCACATGGCAAGTTCCAACAATGCTTGGACTTGCTGAATGTCTTGAGTGGGTGACTCCGCCCTACAGGGGCATTGATGGCGGGAGAGAAGAGAAGGAGCAGAGTACATCAAGAGATTTCAGAGGAAGAAGATTCAAGTCAAGGTGGAGATTTGTTGATGTGACTTGAATCGGAATATCAGCCGCTACGACTGGTAATCGTGTTAGTGAACCACGTAATCGTATGTCTGTGTTTTTCGATTCTCGCTTTCGTATTCTTGCTTTATCGATTCCGGCGAATTCCCGATCTATAGCAGCGCGTTTATAACAATATATATTGCAAATCAAAGTGAAACAAACCGAAAACTCGGCGGCTAGTAGCGTGCGCACGAACGATATCACCCTCGCTAAACTAGTCTCGGTACATGAACCCAAACTTGTATCTATCAACCACATAAACAAAGAAAATGGTGTGTTGGTATCAAAGCGATGTGTCCTAGCAACAGGAAGCGGGATAGGGTAGCCGAGCCCATCGAACCAGGTGCGGTTGCCGTCATAGTAAGCAATCATCGTCACGCCGCCGTCCGGATGCGTCGTCTTCACGAACCACCAGTTTTGCGTATCGAATGCCCGAAGCCCGAAGAGAAGAGATAAATCTTAGGGGGAGGCTTCCAATCTATAGGCTCCTCATCCACCAGTTGCACCATTCGTCGGGAACCACGTGGAGGCGTCAATGGCGTATGGCTCGTACTTGAAAGTAGTATCCCAATGGGAGAAATATGGCGTGCGCTCAGAAGTCCCGACCACGTATCCAGCGGCACCGGCTGTCTTCGGCTCCTGAGAACCGTGTCGTTCGAAAAGTATCGTGTCGTGGCTGTTATCGCCCACGATTGCTTGCGACGTTGCTGCTCCAGCTCGTGTTCGTTCTCTCTTTCTCAGCGTCTCGAGTTCGTCTTTCTTTTATTCGCCAGCCTTCGCAGCTCCTCGTCCTTCTTCTCCTCCAGCTCTCGTAGTTCCGCCTCGTGCTTTTCGCTCGCCCCCTCCATCTCCTCCTTCAGCTTCTGAAGCTCATCGTCCTGTTCCTCCATCTCCTCCCTAAGCTTCTCCAGGTCCTCCTCCTTCTTTTTCAACGTTCTCTTTAACTCCTCGTATTTCTCCTTGCTCACCCCTCCTGTCGTCGCTGTCGTGGCAGCTGCTTCTCCCGACTCGGCATGGTGTATTTCAAAAGGCAGCGTGGCCACGTGGTGAGGCCCGCCATGCTGACCCCATGAAAGGGCTAGTTGAAAAGATCGTTCAGTCGGAGATAGTGAATTCCAAAGTCTTTGTTTCCCCCAGTTCGGTGACATCCTGAAAACAGTGCCCTTGTGGGCTCACCATCAGTCGCAGCCGAGCCAGGTGCTGGGCCAGCTTGGTCAGGACCTCCCTTCCCTTGATATCTGCCTGACCGTCGAAGAACATCATCCCGTCGTAGGATGACTCATTCGTTCCTGAACTACTATAGTTGTCACCTTCATCACTATCATAGTGATCACGGGGAATGATGTTGCCAACTTCCTTCCAGTGAGCCTTTCGGATGTAAGAAGGGTAAATGGTTGGGTTGCTCAACTCGTAGACTTTGAGGGTACTTTTGTCAGAGGAAGCAACGAAGTGCTTGTTTGACTTGAAATCAAAGAGACGAACCATGCTAAATTACCTAGTTAGCTAATTAATATTCTCTTCTGGAGATGGTCGGAGACTAGGGATTTGGATTACTTAATGGCCTGGTGTGTGGATGCCATAGCTATATATATAGCCTTAGAATGACCATATCCGAGTATCTGACCAACCTCCCTCCCGCCCGCTTAACTTGAGAAAAAAAAAAATGAAAACTGCATCAATGAAGTTCACGGCAATTTCATTTGCCCGCGAGCCAAGTTTGAATTAGTAAACCAATCAATATTGTAGTATGATTTTGTTCATCCAATGCATATATAACGACAACACCACAACAACCAGTCAAGTTGTTTTCTTCTGGCCTTCTTATTTGATTAGATATACGAAGGATTAAGAAAGACTTCAGTTCCTTTTAACAAACAAGTCTTTGTATTATGTTCTGGATCCAATTCTAGATCACAATTTCGTAACAAATCAAATATATTCATGTATGAACTCGCCGAAAATGATAACATATTCAAATGGATATATGCACCTACTAGCCAATAGACTTCTTTCTTTCCATCGGTCTATATATGCTCTCAGATCTCAATACTTATTGGCTTGGTTTCATTTTTTTTTCTTTTTTTATTTTAACAAACAATTCCTCGATTTGACGGGGAGACAAGAATAAGTTGGAAAGAACAAGCATGACATGAATTTTTCTTGACAACTGACATACCTGAGCATTCGGTTGAAGATGGTTTTGTTATTGAATCTATGTACTATGCCCTATAGGATTGCAATGGGAAAAAAATGTACGTGCATCCATTGCCAACTTCATGAATTAAACCAGACAAGCTATCAATGTACTATATGACTCTAGTTTCTCAAATGAGACAACACATCAGTCATCACAAGTTTCTTGCACCAATCCAATTTATGTGTCTCATGCTCCTCTTGCATGGGTCTTATGGACGAAGATGCAAAAGGTTCGCAGCTTGAGGCCTCATGTACTAATAGAGAGTTCGTTTGGTCATACCTCATGGTGACGGTGATTAGAGGGAGAGGAGTTTTTCTTGACTTTCGAACCTTCGATGAACAGAGGGTTAGAGTTAAGAGAAGTAACCAGCTACTTCTTTCCTCTCTTCTTTCTCGAAGGAAATGTCCTTTGATCAGATGAATCAGAAGTATACCACTCCCATACTCAATATCTTGAGCAAGCATTTTCTTTTTAAACTTTTTGACTTTGTCCCTGGTTAGTGAAGGGTTCATGCACAGGAAAGAGCTAGGTCGAGTTTTGGAAGCAGAACGACCCCCTCAAAAATTGGCGCCACCTATGGTCGCTATTTGTTGAATCACTATACCTAGTTCTTAGACTCCAACCCCCGAACATAAACACACACACAAATTTACCCGAGCCAAATTTAACTGGTTGAACCCGATTTTGATATTTCCCAAAACTCCAAACTTGTGTGTATTCAAGCCGTTTAGATGGCCGGTTACTGTTGGAACCCGGTTGAATCGATGGAAGCATAAGGGTTTAACAATCTTGCTCTACACAATATACTTTTGTTTTCATTCAAATAGATGTCATTCCGATAAATCATGATTAATATTTTTTCATTGAAATATATAGTCCTCTTTTCCTTCGTTTTCTTTTTTCGTCTTCTTGATGAATATGCATATAATTAATTATAAGGAAATAGAGTCTTTGTTTTATCAGGTCAATGGCCGATCGAAAATTAAAAGGAAGCTTCATGGAGAGGATGATCGAGTATATATATATGGGTGTATTCTACGTTACTCTGGGTGAAATCTAGGGTACCCATACCTTGAGTATGCAAATGTTATCTAGACCTCGAATTAGCAGGATTTTTGAACCTGATACTATACCATAACCCTTAATAAGTGAACCCTAGTTCCTAATTATCTAATTATAAACTATAAACCCTAAGATGGTGCATTCATTTTTGGCATTTATTTGGACGAATCGTAACCGTCAATTATTTTGCTAATTAAATTAATTTTGGAGTATTAGAATTTAGAGAACTAAGACCTAGATTTTGATCTTTAAGGGTTAGAGTATAGTATTATGTCCGAAAGATCAGTCAATTCATGTTCTGAATAGCGTTTTCATACTCAGGGTATGTGGTACCCTCGATTTCACCCTGGGTTCCATAGAACTCCCCATATATATGATGACTATATATATACACATGCTTTTTGTCCATCATTCCTCTACCGTTTGAGTCTCATCTCATCTCTCGTGTTTTAGTACGGTTTCATGTTAGGTTATTCTTGTTTGTGATATTTCAGTTCTAGTACGTGAAGGAAGGTTTGGGCACGAGTTCAGCGTCGATTGGACGAAGTTGGAACGATTGACGAAAAGCTGGGGAAACCACACGACCATACCTAAATACCACACGGCCGTGTGACGTGGCCGTGTGGAACCCCTTTGCGCGAGCAAACCACACTGGCAGTGTAAAGGGTCCTTTGTGGCCGTGTGAAATTCCCAAAGAGCTCACATGGGCAGGCCATGATTTCACACGACCGTGCGGTTCTGGCCGTGTAGCGTGCATAAAGGCATTTAAGTGAAATGCGACGTTTTATACTTCCATACGCGCAGCTGGCAATTCTACACAGTAGTGTGGTCTGGCCGTGTAGTCGCAGAATTCTGAGTTTTAACCCAATTTCGGGTCTTTTGAAGGGGGATTGATTTTCAGAGCTAGAAACAGAGTCTTAGAGAGAGAAAGTGCGAAGGACACACCCTAGAGGTGATTTTGGAGTTGGGTTTCATCAATCAAGCTTGGATTTCATCCTTGGGGTGAAGATTATCATCCCATAGCAAATTCTTTCCCATCTTGATGAGTATGACAAGCTTTATATTCTGTTTTCTCTCTCTCTCTCTATGGAGTAGAACCCTCTCTCACTTGGATATGAAGAACCCTAGTTCCATGGGTTAGGGATATCGATTGTAATGAGGTTTGAATTGTGATACTGCTGGATTATAATCGATTGAAGTGTTTTGATTGAGTCAATTGAAGCCTGATTCTCTTGTATTTATTTCTGCTGCAACCTGAGATAGATAGAATCTGATTAGGTTATTGTTGAAACGTGAAAGTATGTTATTCTAGCTTTTTCTTCACTGCATTCTCTCTTTTCCACCTTTGTGCCTTCACGGGTTGTGTTTGCATTCTGGGTGCAGGGGTAGTGCATGACCCGTAGTCAGTCAGGAGACTTACTACCGTTAGACTAAGAGTTTGAACGGTCTTGTAGGAATTTCAAGCGAGCTTTAAAGGCGCGACAGGCTGCGGAGGAGGCTCTAGCACAGCTGCAGATCAACCAGGAGGGAGACATGGGTGAGCCTCAAAACAACGATGTGGTTGTCCCGGATGAGCACACCATGGGATATTACTGGTCCGCCAAAGCCGCGGACATGAGGTCGCCCATCCAGCACCCTCAAGTTAATTGGGTAATTGGTTTCATTGGTTAGCAGCGTTGAAACTAAACCAAACCACCTAAACTAAACAAGCTAAATTATTTAACCAAACTAAACCAATTCTCCAAATTAACCAAACCAAATTAACCGAATGCTACTGGTTAATATGGTTACCACGGTAACCAATCCGTTTGTACACCCCTACTTGCATGGGTCTTATTGACAAAGCTGGAACCATGTACGCAGTTTGATGCCTGGTGTACTCATAGAGAGTTCGTTTGGTCATACCTCATGGGGACGGGGATTTAGAGGGAGAGGAGTTTCTCTCGACTTCCGAACCTTCGATGAACAGTGGGTTAGAGTTAAGAGCAGCAAGCAGCTGCTTCTTTCCTCTCTTCTTTCTAGGAGGAGATGTCCTCTGATCAGTTGAATCAGAAGTATACCACTCATATACTCAATACCTTGAGCAAACCTTTTTCTTTTTAAACTTTTTGACTTTCTCCTTGGTTAGTGAAAGGTTCATGCACAAGAAATGTGGTCGAGTTTTGGAAGCAAAACGACCCCCTCAAGAATTGGCGCCCCCTATAACAGAAATTTGAAGGATTTCTATCGCTATGGTCCCTATTTGTTGAATCACTATACATAGTTCTTGGACTCCAGCCACGAATAGTAACACACACACAAATATTTACCCGAGCCAAATTTAACTGGTTGAATCGATGGCCGGATAAGGGTTTGACAATCTTGCTCTACACAGTATACTTTTTTTCCCTTCAAAGTGGATGTCATTTTGGTAAACATGATTAATATATATATTTTTTTCCATAAAGAATTGAATTCTAATTTAAAATGAAAAATATACAGTCCTTTAAATTTTAATGTTGAACAAATTGTTTATTGTCCAGATTGATTTTGGATCCACCAACCGAGCACAAAGGTCATTTGAAATCTTTTTAACAACTATATTAGTTTGAATATTTTGACTAATACAGGAAATGGAGCCTCTTTTTGTTTCGTTTTGCTTGATGAATATGCATATAATTAATTATAAGGCGAATGATGAGTCTTTGTTTATCAGGTCAATGGCCGATCGGAAATTAAAAGGAAGCTTCAAAGATAGGATCATCGAGTATATATAAACGGCAGGGATGATGGGTCGAAATCCATTCTATTCTCTATCCATTCCAAGCTCGTACGATTCTCCGATGATGTCCATCGACAGTAGTAGAAGAATCATGATGGCTTCGTCGGCCAACGATGTGTTTACAGCGATTTGCGGTGGCACATTTGTGTACCCGGCGGTCATGTATGAGCAGTATCAAGACATCCGGGTGACCAACCGAGACGGTGTTACACCCGGTTCGATTCGGGAGATCACTTACGGACATGGTAAGTACTTATTAATCATTTTTAATTATTATATTTTTGTTTTTAACTTGCAATTAATTATTATCTATATATATATATGATGCAGCCATCTCACGTATGGTTTCACGGGCGACCGAGGAAATCACCCGGATTGACCACACGAGTCGAACCATTGAATCTAGGTTCAAGCCCGATGGTGCTTTCGTGGGCAGGTTCTTTCGTTCGGCCTCCTTGGTCGTAA